TTCACAGAAATAAATGTAAAATTTCTATGAATTTCAGAATACAGTATCACTCTTGTGAACAACTCAAAGCTTGAATCCTTAGATGGCGTTCCGCTTGGTCTTACGCTTAGTATGCACATTGAAAATAATGCGTTACTTGATTTGAACTGCGACAATTTATTTTGGTATAAACGAAGGATTCGAGGGAACAAGTCTAACTGTGGTACGACACACATATAGCACTTATACGTTCTAGAATTTTGTTGTTTTTAGGCTGCGAGTTGGATTTTCCACTCACAAGTGCCAACATTGACGCAGTCTACAATGATTGTAGATTGATTTTGGGTGATTTAGTTCTACGTGGACCAGATGTTCCTTCTGCAGAGGAACTACATAGAAAATTTGGCAATGCTACGAAATTAATGGGAGAATTAGCTATTATTGATACCAGCTATGTTGATCTCAACTTCCTAGAGAGCCTGGAAGAAATGGAGTTAGCATACGATTCGGACGGTAATTTACAAGGAGTACAATATGATGCAATTTTGTAAATTCCCAATTTTTAGCGCCTGTTTTCATTGAGAAATTCTTCAGAATAGAGGGAAACAGCGCCTTGGAACGTTTGGAATGGCCACTGAGGGTAAGAGTTATGTAATTGAAGTTTATCAAGATGGTTTAACCGCAGCTGTTGAAGAACCAATACTTGCTTTTTTCCAAGGTTTGACTTTGTGCACCGTTTCTAAACTGTACTGAATCGGCAAAGCCCTTGAGGTAGACAAATAGATAAAATTTTCTTCAACATACATCTTACAAAGGGCATAAACTTTATTCATGAGCGCCTATAAAGCAGAGACAAAGCTGATAAAATTTTAAAAAGTAGTGTTAGGAAATCACTGATTGGAGTAGCAACCAATTCATGTGAAATTTGTAATGTAGGTGACTTCGCCATGGAAATGGGTTCACAGTACCGCTCATAACTTCTGCAAAAAATGTAATCATACAAATTTCGCGAGAGGATACTCCGTCGCAAATGGAAAAGCAACGTTAAGCTCAGCTCGTCGAGAGGGACTTCTAGTATGTCGCACCGCAGTAACATCTAAGGTATACGATAGGCATACAGTAGAAGGT